AGTTGATTGTGATCCTTGTCGTAAAAATAAGAGTTTGGTTTATGCTACTCGTTCTCAATCACTTTCTCCAAATATGGCCATAAACATTTTTAGTAATGAATTCAAATCATAAATGAGTTGCAAATCTTTTTCTATTAAATGTGTAAACCAAGAGAGAACACTTCCTGATAGAAGTGTACTTATGAATCCAAATTGAGTAAATCCATCAAGATATTGGAAAAAGTGCAAGCTTAAATAGAACTTGATTTCTTGCAAGAATCCTCAAAATTTTGATCTTGTTCCATCAAACTTCTCAAGCATAGTAATCCTTGCTCTCGTCATATTTGTTGAAGCAAAACTCTGTGGATTTGGTTGTAAGGTTGATCTACTTGCTTCCTTTAATTGCACAACTTCTTATTGCAAACTCTGAATTTCTTCCATAGATATAAGCATAGTACTTTCTTGATTCATGTTAGAAATACGTGAGATTTCCACTCTAAGAGTATTGATAAGCTCATGAAGATCTGCAATAGTTGCAAATCTTGTCTCACTTATGCTAGGAGTAGCATCCATAATTTTTTCTTCCTTAGGCAACTCATAAAAATCCAAAAAATTTAAATTGAAGGAGGATAATTCACAACCTTTAATAAAAATTTCCATAAAGAGGGATAATCCACTCTCTTTAAGAAAAGATCAATATTAAAAAATAAGACTTTTTTGTTTATAAGGTGGGTAGTTTGTATCCTTTAAAATATAACAATAGAAGTAAAATAATCCACTTACTTCTAAAATAAGATAAAAATAGTATTTTAGCACTCTTGTCAAATTGTCAAAGATATAAATGTCAAAAAAAAAGAATCCTTGATATACTCTCGTGTCACTGAAGAAAACTAGAAAGTTACTCCAAAGGTAATGTAATATTAACTAGAATGGCTATTGCCAAAAACAAGAAGACTAGAAAGTCTTAAAACAAGACTAAAGTTTAGAATGGCATTGACAGGAGTGAAGAAAGCTTCATTTTTACTTCTATATATATATTTTTAACTATGAGCTACGTAGCGATGTCTTGTAGGATCTCCAAAACATGTTGACTTTGCTAGCGACATGTTTTAACTTACAAAGTAAGTTATCCATGTATGCGTTGTCATAATACGTGAAGTCTTCCTTGAGTATGCTCTGAGTACCTGGCTGTGGAAGGAAGAATGGAAATTATAATAACAAAATCTTAATTCTAATAGAATACTAACAATGCTCTAATGAAACCATAATAATACTAAGCAAGCTTAATCAAATTCAAAAAAAACCTCAAAGAAATTTCAAACAAACAATAAGAATTCTTAAAGAAATATTAGAAAGTTTATAAATATCACTCAAATACATCTCAATTTAATCTTAATTTAGTTCTAGTTAAAATCCTATTGAACTTCATTCAAACTTTAGGCCAAAAATAATTAAAACTTAAATCCTAATAAAATCTTAAATCCTAAATCAAACCCTAAATAAACCTTAAATCAAACCTCAACCAAATCCTAAATCAAATCCATCCAAACCTTAAACCAAATCCTAAACCCTAAATCAAATACTAACAAAGTCCTCATCCAAATCTTAAATCCTAAACCAAATCCTAATTAAAACCCTAAATCCTAAATCAAATCCTAACCAAATCCTAAACTATAAATAAAACCCTAATCAAATTCTAAACCAAATTCTAACCCCTAAACCAAATCCTAATCCAAATCCTAAATCCTAAACCAAATCCTAATAAAAATCTAAACCCTAAATTGAACCCTAATCCAAATCCTAAACCCTAAATCAAATCCTAATCAAATCCCAAACCAAACCCTAACCAAATCCTAAACCAAACCCTAATAATTCCTATAACAATTTAAACCTCAATAACTAATGAATAAACCGTTGATCTTAATTCAAATTTTGTAAACTTCTTAAAAAATAAGTTGAAAAAAAGTACAAAAAAATTAAAAAGGATCGTAGTTACCAAATTGACGATATCCTCAAAAATGTGCTCGGGTATTGCCAGGCCTCCTAATCCAATCTTAATGCCAATCTTTCAGAGCTAATATCTCTCCTTTGCACCGTTCGATTGGTTTCAAAATTCTCACACACATAAAAAAAACAAGTCTTATATCTTTTCACGTAAGTTTTACTCCAATCCAATTAGTAGATTACAAGAAATCTTAAAAATCCCTACAAGATCTAAATTTCTACTTTCTGAGAACTTGACCCACTTAAACCTCAATATTCCTCACTTCTACCATTAGATCGAGCTCAAATTCACGACACATATTAAACACAACTATAAACATAAACCCACAAAATTTCACCTATAGATCTATTACAAAACTCTTGAAATCATCCAAAACATAAACCCTATTTTATTTCATAAAATCCAAGTCATCCGAAACAAACCTTGACTTTGCAAAGCTCTCACAAAGTCATATCAACTCCAAATCATCCAAAATCAATGCTCATAGAAACCCTATCCAATCTTCTATCAGACCTAACTCTCTGATTTGCCAAAGAGTCTCGAAATCGTCGTCGAAACTCGGTTTTGTGCCTCAAGGTCTGATTTCGATCCTGGGTCATAACTGGCCCTCTCCGGGTATCAACATCTATTTTTTTTTTTTTAAATAATTTTTACTATAATTTACTCTTAACTTCCTTCTAAAGATGTCTATATTATTTATTTTTCCAATCTACCTTATTTTGCCTTATTTTTGGCCCTACAAAGTAAGTAGAAGCTATTTTTTCTAAAAAGGCAACATTACTACTGAAAGTTTTATTACTTTCCTATCTTTTATCCATATTTTTCTACCTTTTCTTTTAACTTGGCTCTTCTATAATAAGATCCATATTATCATCTTTCACCATACAGTCATATTACAATGTGACAAGACCACATGATTAGCTTGTTCTACAAGCTATTATACAAAGTTAACTTATTCCACAAGCTATTATACAAAGTTGACTTATTCCACAAGCTACCAACATGTGGTTAACTTATTGGCCAAGTTTCCAACCTAGAAACACATGTGAAGTCAAAACCATGTTTATGAAGCTTTTAAGAAGCTTGACTAAAAACCTTTATGAAATTAATCTATATTTATCTACTTCTACGTAATAATTACTTCTACCTAAATGTATATGTCCGTGATACTAGCACATTAAACTTAAGAGCTATCATTTGCGAACTTATTGGATGAGAAATTACAATTGTCACAACCTTGAAGATGATGCAGTCCAGATGAAGATCCTTAAGAATGATACGTCCTTGAATAGATGGCAGGATATAATATGTTTGGTATCACGACCTTAGAAGGGACTCTTGATGTTTGGTGATTTTATTAGAGGTAGAAACAACTCCTGATGGTGTTCCAAATGTTTTCTTTGAAGAAAGTTATAAAGGCCTTAACAACGACCAAATAACAGGGTGGTCTTCCTGCCTTAGAATGGGACACTATCAATGGCTCAGAGAACCTATCTACTATCTTCAAAGAGAACAACGATTGGATTATGTGATAAATATAATTTGTCGTGTCTTAGATTTCCTCAACATATGAAGACCTCTCCTTGTGGAACTCGTACTTAGAAGAGAGGATAATGTCATGGATGTACACATGTAAACCAATGATTACCTATATGATTTAGATAATAGTACATAAAAGTAGGTTAATTTCATAATATCTTGTATAGAAGCTTCCTAGAAGCTTTATTGATGCTACTTTGACTTTATAGGTGTCTTTAATTGACTTTTAAGGTTAAAGACATAGTCAACAAGTTGGCCATGTGCCATATATGTTGGTAGCTTGAAGAACAAGTTAATTATGTGGCCTACACGTAGAAAACTTGCCCTGTAAGCTAAGGCATATGTCATGCAAAGTCAACATATATTAGAGGTCCTATAGAACATGGCCAAATAGCTCCTAGTTAGATAGTATATATAGAGATTAGAGTGAAGCCTTCTTCACTCTTATGAATTCCTTTCTTGTTTTTAGTCTAGATTTAAGAGTCTTTAGTTTCCTTGTCATTTGGCAATAGCTATTCCAGTTGCCTTTTAATATACATACTACTTTATTTCTATTTTATCACTTTTCTTTTGATATAGATTTTCCAAGTTTATGCATCTTCTTCGAGTTCATGTCCTTGACAAGAAGACTCCTTAGTAAGGTTTTTATACTATGGCTTTACAATGTAGGCTTGTAGATTCAAAACCCTTGTAAATTTCTTTAAATTGTTTGGAACAAAGATTGTTAAACAAATATATATATATATATATATATATATATATTAGAAGTTATAACAAAGTATAATTGTGTACATTGAGTACACTATAATGTAACACAATAGTTAAATAGTAAGACCAATATACATCAAAATTTTGTTGCTATAAGTTATACAATTCTTTATAAATAGTTTGATAAGATTAAATTTAGTATGAACTTAATTCACTTATATCAATTACAAAACTATACGTTTCTTTTTGTAGAAGTTTCTAATGATTTATTGCACAAGTTAATCATGTAGTTTATTAAAAAAATTAAATATAATTTTAGAAAATTTTAAAAAGTAATTAAATGGAATAAAATAAAATATATTTTTTACTTATGTACGAGATAATGTCTAAAATTAATGAAGCATGAAAAAAATATAAAAAAATAATATATATATATATATATATATATATATATATCTGTATATCTATATATGCATGTACAATAAGTTGTAAAAGAAATAAATCCTTTTGAATATTAATGATATTTGAAAACAAAAGAAACAGTATTATAATTAAAATTGTATAAAAAAATATCACCATATTTATTGCAAAATGATGATTATATATATATATATATATATATATATTCGCATATTTACATACATTTGGACAAAAATTCAATAAAGATAAAACATATAAACTTTACTTGGCCACAATACCGCCCACATGTTCCTACCTACCTAACGACCTACCTTCCAAGCGACCCGAAACAATGGTGCTGCTTTCTTCGCATGTTGCTTTGTTCCTCCCTCGTCGACGCTCTTGCAATTGCTCTCTGGGTCTGAAACCAGTCACTGGATTACTGTGTCACTGGATTACTGTGTCACTGGATTACTGTGTCACTGGATTACTGTGTCACTGGTTGTGTTGCTGTTCATAGCGGGACCCTAGAGAGAGTGGCTCTTATTCCGCTTGTTTTTGGTGATTTTATTGGTGTAGTTTGCTGCCAGCTGTTTCAGTTTAGGGTTTATAGGGTTTTGAGTGAGAGGTGGTGGGGTTTGGATTGGCGGAACTCTACTGAAAATTTGAAGTTCGTTCCGTTTATTACAGGAATCTCGAATTTGCTTGATTTCTTTTTATTTTTATTTTTGGGATAGAATGGGGAATTAGCGGATTTTGTTATCGAGGGTGGCTTTGGGGAGTTGCAGGGTCCAGGCTGTTGCGTAGCATACAATTCGATCGTGAAGCGGGTTTCGCAGGGCATTTTGTGAGAGTTGAGAGAGGGAATTTCGTGTTGAGAATCATGCAAACCAACTAGCTCGTCGCTGCGAACGCTTTCACTCGCTGTTGGATATGGTCACCGTTAGACTGTCTTACGGTTTCCATCACATCTTCCGGTTATTAGGGTTCTTGCTTCGGCCTATATTTTTCTGAATTTGGTAGTCTTCTTTGTTGATATTGGATTATCGTTGAGATCGTATTTTTGTGGCCGTTGTGTTGAGTTTTTGTATGGGGTTTTAGGGGATCCTTGGCTGTCGTATTACGGTCTACTTCCTACTTTGCTTACTGCACTGCTTTTAGTTCTTGTGGAAATTAGGGCTGGATTCTGGGGATCTTTCTGGTCAGTTTAGGTGATCGCAACTTCAGAATAACAAATTTTAAATATCTAAGTAAGCAGAATGCCGCAGCGTCATTCGAAGAATAATAATGATCTCGCGTTTTTCACGTATGATGAGAGAAAGAAATTAGGATATGGCACGCAAAAGGAGCGGTTGGGGAAAGACTCCATAAAGCCCTTTGATGCGTGCTGCATATGTTTGCAGCCTATAATCGATCCTATGAGCTGTATGAAAGGCCATTTGTTTTGTAAAGAGTGTATTATTGAGTGTTTGGTGGCTCAGAAGAAGGACATCAAGAGGTGAGTTGATTTTCCCTTCTCACGTTAGTATGTTCGTCATTACGATTATGGATAAGCTACCGAGTGTACGTAGAGCCTGGAAAACTATAATTTGAAAACTGGATTGTCTCTACATTGAATCGTTAGGCTTGCAGTCTGCAATTGTTTATGTTTATGCATCCAACTTAAGTTTCAGATGTTTCCGATCAGATGGCTTTGGAAGTACATTTAGCCTCGGGAAAACACTTCAAGGTGGCTCATATGGATTTTAATTAGGTGTTAAGTTAGGTATTGTTGTTTTGCCTCCAGGCAACAGAAGTATTGATTTTTCCATGGGCTCAAATACATCTGCGGTAATTATTAGAGCAGAGAAAGGTTGACCATGTCGATGAAACGAGCAAGCCAATCATTTGCACAGAGTTCACGTGTTTAATCACTTGTGGTTGTCAATTTATGGCACGATCAAGTTCTGTGAATAACTTTGTGGTGGATATCTTGGACACTTATAGAATTAATCTGTGTATTATGTTGAGTCTTTGATTCGGGAAAAGGTTTCACTCTGGCCAGTTCGGTCAACACATTGTGATGAGAGTTTTGATCAATGGATTTCAGGAAGTTGGCTGCTTTCATACAGCAACAGAAGAGCGATAAAGAAGAGGAAATAGACAAAGTTACCGCCGAGAAGCAGCAAGAACTTGATGCATTTGACCGACAAAACAATTCTGCTGTGCCACACCAGCAAATCGCTGGTAGTTCCGGTGATCGTCACGTATTCCATGGGGCTAACAGCGTGAGAGTTACTTCATATGAGGAAGAAGCACTTCGCACAATGAAGGCTTTTTGGTTGCCATCAGCAACTCCTGGTGCCGTAGAACGAGTTCAAGCTCCGTCTACAGACACTGTCTGCCCAGAGGGCAAGGAGAAGCTGAAACTGAAAGGCTTGTTTCCAGTTGTCTTCACCGAAGTGAGAAACAGAGAGAAGAAGGAAGTTGATCTTGACAGTTTCAAATACATGTGTCCCTCATGCTCCGTGACCCTGACGGATACGCTTACACTCGTTGCTGTTAGTACTTGCGGCCATGTCTTCTGCAAAAAATGTGCCGACAAATTTGTTGCACCAGACAAGATATGTTTAGCCTGTAACAATCCCTGCAAACCCAAAAATTTGATCACATTGGAGAAAGGAGGAACAGGCTTCGCTGGGCATGATGAGAATCTGGAGGCCAAGGCTTTTAAACATGTAGGAAGTGGGACTGGCATGGGCCTTGCACGTCCTACAACCAAGCTGTAGTGTATTTTTCATTTAGAACAGTAGTTTTTACTCAAAATCTCGGATGTTCCTCAGATGATTTTGTTTCTGAGCATGAGTTTTACCTGGACGTAAAACGTTTTCCAGACTGCCTAATTGAGGGGTCGACGATCCGACGGTAGTTTTGTTGTGGTGTTATTGTAGTGAATCTCTTCCCTCTTTCTGCTTCTAGAATCAATTCGGCACATTTTGTTGTGGTGCGCAGCTGCTTTGTTTTGTTATAGAGTTGCCGCGGTATGGGATTGTTGGTTGTGGAATATTGTTGCTGCGCTTCAGGGTCTTCTTCCTTTGGACAAAAACAATGATCATCTTCCTTTGGTTGTAACTGTGTGTATGAAAAGAGGTTCTTTTAACGAATTCTCTCTGATATTTTCCGATTCATGCCCTTCAGTTCGAGTGGCACACCGGTTTCCAACCTTGTGCTGATCCGCGGCCGGGAGATCATTATATCGTTTAACGGTGATCTCTTTTAAATCCGTTTAACTGGCATGTTCACCAGTTTTAGAATCATTATTTCAGTAGCAGTCTTGCATTTGGTATCAGGCCAAGCCTGTTCTTGTAGTGGTTAATCGCATGTGAGTTTTCATGTCACTCAGCCATCCATTTTTCTTGTTACGTCTTCTTGGCCATACTTCAGAACTGTTGTTGAAGATCTTCAAATTTTGAGTAATGTTATGTTTTTTAGGTACATGTTGTTGTATAACTAAAAGTTTATAATCAAATGTTGTATTGCGTCATATGATTTTATCATGGCATTTTGTCATATTTCTTAGAAAGTGAAAGAATATTCAACAATCTTTATTATGATTTTGAGAGGGGGGACTTGAATAGAAAATTCTTGGAATTGGCTTGAGAATACAACCTTGATGCAACTTAGGATCCACCAAGATGCATTTTAGATTAATTGAGGAATTCTTATTGGACATGGTTAAAATACTCAAGATGTGGCAATCAAAAAAGAATTTTGCAAAAATAATATGCATCTAAGAAGTGATTTATTGAATTGAATAATAATAGTAATAAGAAAATAGTGATTTATTGAATTGAGAAATAATAGTAATAAGAAAATAATATTGGTTTTTTTGGTGAGAACTAATCTTTGCATCATTAAAATTGATGGTGAGTTTGTTTGACCAAAGATATGTTTTTAAGGAAATATATGATGATTTTATATTTGTTCAAGACAAGTTCCAAAAATTTATTTTAGAAGTAGAAATTTGATAAGAAAAGATTCTTGATTTAATTCTTAAAATCATTCTTCATAGAACAAATTATTTTGTATTTTTATTTAAAAAATAAAATTCTTGATTCCTAATTATGTGATTTAAAGACAAAAGTTGGTTTTAATTAATTACAACTATCTTTTTATTAGATATCTAATTATAAATTGTAAGAGATAAGATTATAAATTGTAAGAGATAAGATTATAAAGCTTTGTGAGTTCTAAACTCATAACAATTCATACTGAATTGGGATACAATTCTAAAATTTAATAATTACACAAGATTACATTTTAAAATCACATTAGATCAACAATAAGAAGTTCTAAAATATTATAGTAAAATAAAAAATAAGTGGTAATAAAGTTGTTAAAAAAATTATTCTTGTAATATATTGTTGCAAAAAGAAAAAATAAAAAAAAAATACAATATAATTGAAGCATATTTAGAAGAATTAATAGATGTTCAAAGGCCCAAATTAATTCTTATACTACAAAAATACATATCTTTAAATTTATTTCAATCCATTCTAATCTATAAAAAACCACAATAATGTAGTAAAGGGAAAATGATTTCTTAAAAAGATTAGCATATTATATAGGTTTATTTAATTATATATCATAATGTATCACAAACATATCCAATAGTATTACTTACTTATATAAGTGTAGTTAAATAAGAGTTAATAAAAATAGATAAATTATATAATATATTATAGAGAAGCTTCAAAGATGTAGATTTGACTTTATATGTATCCATAAGTAATTGATAGGTTGAAAATTTGGCCAACAAGTTGATTGCATGTCATACATGTTTACTATTCATGGTATAAGTTGGTCATATGGCACACATATAAAAACTTTTCTTTTAAGTGAGACACATGTCTTACAAGTAGAATACTTGTCAGAGGTCCTATTGAATATTGCTACATAACTCTTAGTTAGATAGTATATATAAAGACAAGAATGAAGCTTTCTTCATTCTTGTCAACACCTTTCTTATTCTTAGTCTTGTTTCAACAGCCTTTAGTCTTCTTGTCTTTGGCAATAGCCATTCTAATTTTAATATTATATTATCTTTTAATAATTTCTTATCCTTTTTTAATAACAAAAGAGTGTATTGATCTTTTGATTTTTTGTAATTATTATCTTTAATTATTTGAAAAAAATACTATTTTACTATTAAAAATAAATAAATAAATGAGAGGATGATACAATTTTTTTTTTTTTTTTTAATCTCAAAGATTGTAGACTATCTATGTTTAAACTAACATTTTGTTTTCTAACATTTGTTTTTTTATTAAAAAGAGTGGACTATCTTTCTTTAAAGAAATTTTTATTTGATACTAAAGGTTGTAGATTATCTTCTTCTAATTTGACTTGCATATTTGTTAAAGTTGTCTATTGTAGAGATAGAAGAAATAATTATGGATGTTATACTTAATAAAAGTGAGAATATATTTGAAACTATTATAAATCTTTACAAACTTGTTAATACTATTAGGATGAAAAATTTATATATTATGAATATCAACCATAGAGATATTATCCGTATATCTATAAAAGAAATCAACAATAAAATTTAATATCTATGCTAAAATATTTTGCAGTTGAAAGAAGCAGATAGATCATTTTTATAATTGAATTCAAAAAATCTTATTATTATAAATATATAAAAAAATATTAAAATATTAGAGAAGTTTGTGTCACGGACATACATATAATTACCTATATGAATAGATAAAAGTATGTAAAAGTAGGTTAATTGTGTAATATCTTCTAGAGAAGCTTCTTAGAAGCTTCATAGACGCTGCTTTGACTTTATAGGAGTCTATAGTTGACTTTTAGGTTAGAAACTTGGTCAACAAGTTAGCCATGTGCCACGCATGTTGGAAGCTTAAAGAACAAGCTAACTACGTGGTCCATCCATAGAAAACTTGCCTTGCAAGCAAAGGCATGTGGCCTAGAAAGTCAACATATATTGGAGGTCTTATAGAACATCGCCACGTGGCTTCTAGTTAGATAGTATATATAGAGGCAAGAGTGAAGCCCTCTTCACTCTTGTCAACTCCTTTCTTGCTTCTAGTCTAGTTTCAAGGGTCTCTAGTTTTCTTGTATTTTGGCAATAGCCATTCCAGTTTCTTTTTTAATATACATATTTCTATTTTGTCCTATTTCTTTTTGAGAAAAGTCTCACTTACTCTTTAGCTTTCATCGAGTTCTTGTCCCTGACAGATTGACAAGAGTACACTTACAATATCAGAGCTTTGTCTTTTCTTGATTAAGAGTGGATTACCCCTTTTTCTTGATAAGACATAAGCGCATAAGAAGTTGCGGATTACCCTCTTTTAAACTGATATTGTTCTTAGTATTTTCTTTGTTATCAATTCCTCTCTTCTATTTGTTTTGAGCGTTGTTAGACATCTTCTCTTTTCTAAGTGCTACTATGGCAGAGCTTGTTGAAATGAAGAGTGCAATGGCACAGATGCAAGAACAATTGAGGGAGTTAATGCTTGCGATGCATCAACTCAATTTACCACCACAAGGAGCAACAAGAATGGTAGGAAGTGAAGATATAGAGATGATTGGGGCTGCTTCAACATCTGCACCAAACCATGTCCCTTCTCCCAGAATGGAACACCCTTCGAGTGTTAGAGAACCGAGAGTGGCCTTGCCTGAGAAGTTTGATGGTACCAGATCCAAGTTTCGAGGATTCATCAATCAGGTCCAACTAGTGATTGAACTTCAACCCCAGAGCTATCCAACTCCAGGGTCACAAGTTAGATTCATTGGTACACTTCTTTCAGGTTCAGCATTGTCATGGTTTTCATCTTTTCTTGAACGACGAGATCCAATATTGGATAATCTGGAGGCTTTTTTGGCGGAGTTTTGATCCATGTTTGGAGAACATGATGTAATTCGTGTTGCAACCAACAAGATCCGTATTTTGCGACAAGGCAATCGATCAGTAACATTATATGCTTCGCAATTTCGACAACTTGCAATTGATATCAAGTGGGATGATGCCGCACTTGTGAGTCAATTTCTCTACGGATTACAATATGAGGTAAAGAAATTGATGCTTAATTTACCTGATCCTCAAACATTGAGTCAAGCAATTGACTTTGCTGTGAAGTGCGACAATCGACTTTTTGAATTTCGATCCGAGAGTCGCACAAGTGGGCCTCAACGTTACTACAATTCAATGGCAACACCGACGTCTCCTCAACACATACCTTCGGAAGTAGAGGATATGCAAATTGATGCGGTACGTTTCAAACCTCTTACTGAGCAAGAAAAGTCTCGTCGTTGACAAGAAGGATTGTGCTTATATTGTGGAGAACCTAAGCACACTGCTCAACATTGTTCAAAGAAGCGACGTAACTACAAAATGAGGAGTACGGCTGTCAAAGAAGACAGTATGTCGGAAAACGAGTACGTCCAGCTACAATAGGGACCGTGCGGCTGGAATCTTGTACAACTTCTAATAAAGGTCCTATCCTCTCCTCAAAACCATCTCCTTGTTTTATAATAGATGTGCGTTTAGGACCTAATAATTAAAAAGCCTCTACCTTGGTAGATTCAGGAGCCTCATCTTGTTTTTTAGATGAAGAATTTGCTAGATGTCATAGAATATCATTAATACAAAAAACTAAACCTGTACACGTAGAAGTCATAGATGGTCGTCCGTTGTCTTCTGGAGATGTAACTCACGAAACACTTCCTGTAGATGTAGTAATAAATGGTCATAGTAGTTGCGTAATTTTTAATATAATTAGATCTCTTTCTAATCCAGTAATTTTAGGCTTATCATGGTTAGAAAAGTATAATCCTCGAATAGATTGGATTTCTCGTAAACTTGATTTTCCTCAGAGCATTAGTAACAGTTCTATTAACCAAGTAAAAAACCATGGGTCTAGTATAGTAAAACTCACACCTATAGGTGCAAAAGCATTTATACACGCAGCAAAAGAAGGATCAACTTTTGCTATTTATGCTGCA